TGTCCATTACAACAAGTATATTGGAAGAAAAAAAAAAAAAAAAAAAAAAAAAAAAAAAAAAAAAACGCCAAAACCCACCAACTTTAAAATATTCCTACATATTTCTGAAATATTCTGTAAAATACATGATAAAAAATTACATTTTTCAAGAGTTTATTTAAGGTAACTTCTGGATCTCATTCCTGAGTTCAGCACTTGTGAATAATCAATCAATACCAAGTTCCTGCTAATAAATGTTTACCTCACACCACCATATATCCTCAATATAGACGCATGTCATGTAAAATGTGCTTTCATGTAAGAAGTATATTTTAGTATCACAATGTTTCTGCTGAGGCAAATTAAGACTGTTTTGTTTCTCTGGAGTGTCCAATGTAACAAGAAGAAACTTACTTTAAAAGCACAGCACTAGATACAAACATTTTTCTTCTCAGGAAAACGAGAAAAATTCAAGGAGTTACTAAAAGTTATTTAGAGCACACATGTAATCATCCATCAGTAAAAGCCAATTTCTACAGTAAAAGGTATCTTAATCTTGAAGACAATTACTACAAATTCTAAAAAGGATGAAAGGCCTTTTTGTTCTAGGGAAGGGATGCAGGAGGGAAGGAAGGTTGCATTATACTACAGTGTAGTCTTGTATTTCCTGTTTTTCAACAGTTAGAAGCTTGCCTAAATGTTGTTTGGAATGCATTCCTCAAGCTCACTGCAGCGGGATACAGATTCTGCCATACCTATGGCAAAGTCCCTGCTCCCCAAACCGTGACAGTCCAAGAAGGCTGTTCTTAGCCGCTAAGGACCAAACTTTAAAGACTTCTGATGGTTCAGAAAGGCAATACATACGATCTAAGTCATACTTTTATCTGACACAACAATAATTTTATTTTAATTCAGAAATTAGAAAGGACAACGATCTCAGAAAGGTGGGCATTAATAATACAGAAAAAGCAGCAAGAGGCATAAGGAAAATGTATGAATTCTATACAAACTTGTTAATTTTATATGCGTGCATAAGTAAACACATGGCATGGAAGAAACATGTATTCTATTTATGGCACCCATGACTGAATAACATTAGCAGAGCTAAATATGTGCAGAAAACGTCTAGTTTTTGGGGGTTTTTTTAAGCTTAGAAAATTGAATTGGAATGTGCCTCCCAGACATGCCTCCAAGCCACAAGCTGAAGAAGCAAGAACTACGATTCCAGAGACCAAGTTAGACACTATTGCATACATTAAATTTAATTATCTACCTGACAAAGCTTTTCCCAGTGACATCATGTGAGGGTTCAAATAAACTTGGTACGATTTGCCCTTGAAATCAAGTTTCACAAATTATTTTCCCCCATGACAGAGTACACATACAAAGATACATATACATCTGTGTATACTGCGTATCGCAAATTGAAAACTTGTATTTCAAGAGGTAACCCTCAATCAGAAAGCAGACCTTATCACCAAAGACCAGGCGGGAAACAGTGATTTAGAAAAAAGGGTTTTCAAAAACACAAAGGAATGTGAGTGTACAGTAAAAACCTCTATAAAACACACAGTGTAGAGTAAAAAGATGCACAGTATATTACTATTCACCTATAGTCACTAGTGAAATTGTTTATGTAAAACTTGTGAAAACTGTGGCTTTCTATCACTTTCCATGCTAAGGATGCAATACTAATAGATTTCATGACTGGGTTTATGCAGTTAGGAGTCAACATTCACACTTAAAACAGCAGTATTATTAAAAAAAAAACTGAACAGAAGTGTACAGTCACTGTAAGCACATCAACTCAGTGATTCATAATACAAATGCACATTTTTGATTGACAGAAAAAGACAAGACAGGCCTCCCTTCATGGATATATATATTTTAAATGCATTACTTCACTAAAAGGTGAACCCTGCACCACTTTGGAGATAATTTCAACTGATTTAGCTAACCCAGTGCTTGAAACAACGCTGGGAAATAGTATCGACTTAAAACCAAGCTAAACCAAATTATGAAGATCAGATCATAGAAAACAAGTAAGCCCAAAGTTGAACAAAAACATCCACACAAGAGACTGTACCTATTGACTTAAAAATTAGTTAAATCCACATTTGAAAAGCAGCAGATTTCCTGCACGAGTTCCTGAGTGCTAAGAGTTTAGACAGTAAGAAGTCTAAGAGATTGGTTGGGCAGATTTGAAATATCACGTCGAATTCAGGAGGTAATTCTGCTATTAAATTTGAAACAAGATGTGCACTTCCAGCAGAAAGAGCCAATAGTAAACATTTTTGGTAAAGGAAGAGCCAGTTAGTCTGTTGACAGACAACAAAGCTCCTTCAAACTAACGTGTGAAAGCGTTACCTCATACCATACTGCAGTTCTGGTCTGAGAAAGAAGGCTGGCCGGGGAAACCGCCCTGGCCAAGGATTTCAAGCTTCTCCAACCTCCTCTAATTCTTCTGTCCAAGTTGTTACACCTGCATGTTCTCAGCATCTCCCATTGCTGTCAATTCTACAGCTCAGTTGCTTTTTTGTGATGAGGCAGGGAGAAAAGCCTTACAGTTTTGCCTTTTCTTCCTTTTTGTAAATGCTTTGTAATTTTTATTTCAGGCTTGCAGGATAAATCTCAGAGGCTCACATCCTAAAAAAATGGCTTTTTGTCATTTTTCTCGGCCTTTAAATATTATGATTGAACAACTGACATTAATAACATCCCTGAACTCATCAGCAGCCATATACACAGATAACATAGACAGTATCAGCTATTCAAAGTGCTGCCGTATCTCACTTCAGTCTATCCAGTCTATTTTTATTACTATCAGATTCACCTCAGTTTATGGGTTCATTTACATGACTTGGAAGACAAAGACAACTGCTGACTGCCGTATTTACAGCCACAAGCTATTGAAGTGCATCCTCTACCGTACTGTGCAGAATCTGATCTTCAGTCTATAAAACAGTCATAAAACCAGCAACATCAGCAGCTGTGGAGAAGCGGAAAAACAGGACATACTTCCAGTAGCAAACGTACTGAATTTGTGCAATTGCACAGGGCATGAAACTGAAGTCTGCCAGGTTCTTCTGCAAGAATATAAACAGCCAATGTTTTGACAGAAGGACACTTCTACAGGAGTTATTTCTATAATAAATACAAGCATCCTGAAATGCATTGTTCCAAACAGACAGACTGGACTCTAGAGTACTAAGACCTCTTTTTCACACTCTGAGATAAAGATTTACGAAATTGTAATTTTTTTTTTTTTTCCCAGTGAGATGCAACCAAATTTCAAGCTTTCTACTCAATGGTCAGGTGTTCCTGCAGAGCTCGTCTATGCTGATTAGTTCAGCACGCTCTACGGAACTTCTCTGCTCTCTGGAATAATGACATTCATGAAATGGAAGTCTGAATTCATCAAAGAGTTGAGCACTGGAGGCATATGTTTGAACAGAGTTCTTTAAACCCCAGTACAGTACTCCACAGCCATGAAAGGGTGAGCAGCACTGACAGACATGTAGTACTTTTATAGCAGTCTAGAAAATAAAATGAGGAAACAGATGCTAAAAGACTAAGAAAAGGAAAAGGTATTTTGGTAGACATTTCATGATGAAGAAGAAAGTGGCGTTGTATTCTCGCCTATTTGGCCGAACCAGGACATATCTGCACGTTACTCTAAACTCTAAGGAGGGTCAAAGATCCATAATGACTTGTAGGTTAGGTTACCAATTTCAAATGCTACAGATAGAACTGAACAAGACTCTACTGTCTAACGTGGCTAAATTTCTTTGACGTACACTGTTAATGTTAGACACCACCAGAAACCAGGCAGTAGAAATACAAAGGGATGCTATGGAACACCACAGAGCAGAAAGTGAGGTCACTTTACCCATCGTCCAAACACTATTTCACATAAAAATCATCACAGATTTCATCCACTGCATCAGTGCAGTCAAACATTGAAAGCACAATCAGGTTCCATGCCATTTATCCAATTCACTTTTTAACTATGAGTTCTGCAAGCAGACAGATCAAAGAACGTTTTTCTTTCTACCACAACACTGCTTGTAAACCACCCTATGAAATTTAGTTGTTAACCTTAGCTGGAAGGTTGAACTCTTTGGATGGTAGCACATTCATGATCTATTTGATGTTTGGTCACAGATAGAATAATTAAATGGCAGCTGACAAGACAGATAACTACTTCACGAAGCAGTTTCTTGGAAAAAAGTAAGATAAGCAAGATAGCCTTTCATTTGTCAAAAAGAAACAAAGGATTTACAGTGAGCAATGTTTTTAGTGACTAATGAGAGAACAGTATTAAATATAGTGTTACCTTCGTAAGCGTGATAGTTGTAGTAGGCAAAGTGATTCCTTCTCCCTGGGGTTAGAAACACATGCAGAGGACCCAGGTGAAGGCAGCACCAGCAGGACAGATACCATGCAGAACATGCGGAAGAGGGCAGGAAAAGAAAAGACAGGAAAGGGTGAAACTGTAGCCAGACAACACTTACTCAATTTATAAGGATGAAGTGCATTAAACTCTTTCAACTTTAGAAACTGCATAGAATATAAAGACATCAGTACTACAAAACTACTGAATGAAACAATCCTTATTGTTTAGAAAAGCGACAACAAGCTGTTAGAAGAAAACCATGAACAATAGGTCAGTCCCACAGGCAATGTGCAAAGGCTTAGTACACAGCGTTGCCACCTGTGGCATTTCAGATTGTTTTTCCTCTCAGTTAATGGATGTCTTGCTCCACTGCCCAAGCACAACATTTTAATACTAAAGCAACTAGGCTCCATGAAGAGTAAGAGTTTAGAGCACAAGAAAAGAAATTGAAAGTACCATTAAAAGAACCCAAAATATTAATATGCAAATCAAACCTCAGCATATAGAACACAATATAAAATACACTTAATATATTCTGTGCACTGCTAATTTCATCTGGCCTTTTTTTTTTTTTTTTAAACCACACTATTTGACTATGAATTTAACCTTTTGTTTGCAGTTCTGGTCAAAGTTTTCAGCACCGATTTCCAACTTTGCTTCCCAAAAGGTAAACAACCAGACTTCAAGTTGTAAATCACTTGTTTGGATACCTGAGTGTACCCAAGTTACACTTAATAGGAAAGAGAGCTGCAAATAACTAAATTCCCAAAAATGAAAGTCCTTATCCAAATCTTTAAACATGAAGACAATCGAAATGAAGAGTAGAAGCTGTAGGTGTTTTATTAGTTGTTGTGCTATAAACAATCAAGCTCCCCTGGCTGTTCCCAGATCATAAAATTAATTGTAAATTACAATGCAGCCCAGAGAGTTGTAATGATGCCAAAATAAAACCCAGCCTTGATAGTGATTTGAAGGTTCCATATAGGCTGAAAAATGTCAATTTAGCCAGACAACACTTACTCAATTTATAAGGATGAAGTGCATTAAACTCTTTCAACTTTAGAAACTGCATAGAATATAAAGACATCAGTACTACAAAGCTACTGAATGAAACAATCCTTATTGTTTAGAAAAGCGACCAAGCTGTTATAGAAGAAAACCATGAACAATAGGTCAGTCCCACAGGCAACGTGCAAAGGCTTAGTACACAGCGTTGCTGTGTAGGCTGAAAGAAGTCAGATTTAAAAATTCACGTTCTTGTTCTTTTAAAAATGTATTTCTCATGTGTGGCACTGTCAAATATATCTTACTAGGTATGCTACAATATACTTCTGAATGTAAAACAAACCAGATTTAAGCAGTGCTTTTCTCACCCCCCTCCCCAGAAATCACAAGACAACATGTTAAACTATTTTACTTATTATCAAGTTTTAAGCCCCAAAATCCAAAGGAAGTTGAAGATTGAATGATTTTTTGTTTTTGAAACACTTAAACCTTCATACTTGAAACCATGCTAATAGAGACAAAGTCTTAGTCAATCATTTCTCCCCTTTTTTTACTGCAAACATTTGCTACTAAAATTTCGATATTATAGCAATATGCAGCTCTACCTCTAGGTAGCTCCAATTCAGAATCTGGCATCAGAAGAACAACTGATGGGGCATTCACTTACACTGCCAACAGACTTTCTTATGCTTCCAAATGAAAGTCTTATTTTTGGAAGATCTAAATGACTATGTAATAATGTAATTTAGACTATTAGATAACCAGAATTCTTACCTGGGCTTAATTCTACCAGGTATGGTAGTTTCTCAGGAGGAAGGCAAGAGCCATAGCCAGACCCGTCAACTCTTTCCTTCCCCTTTAATGGCTTTCCATCAGTTATTTTCTTGGATTTCTTTGGGATATAATCAGGAGGCCGCCTTTTCAACTGAAAGACTAGTATTCCTAAAACACAATATTATACATCCTTTGAGTTTCACTATCAGTGAGCAAGCAGACATCCAACATCTGTTAATTTATTAAGTGTTCCATAAGATTACTTTCAGTTTACTAAGTTCCTGACACTTCTTTATGTAGTTATTTCTAAGTTAAAACTATTTAAAGGATTAACAGCATATTTCTCCACAGTGGATAATTTAGAAACTTTAGGATAAAATGTAAAAACCTTCTACTGTCTAAAGATGTATTACTATAAACAGTGCTGAATGAAATAGTAAATAACTCTAAAAGCACCTAGTATTAAAAGTGCCTGAAAACAAACACTAAAATATATGTTCCATTTCTTACTTTACAGGGGGTCCACACCATGGCTTGCAACACCCAAGGCACAAAAATCTCTTAAAGCTTTTTAGACATACCTTTATCACTAGGCCACTCCCTGAATATCTGCAGTGGACACTCATCATCATCAAGAATAGTTTCTTTAGCACCTTTATCATCGGAATGCTGAGTACCAGGAGGCAGCATGACCTAGAAGAGAACCATTATTGGTTTTCAGAGCTGTTAGTGGACAATTAGAACAGAGGATTCAGGAGTACATCTTCTCTTTTTTGTTGTTGTTGTTTATAACAAGAGATAAAGCAAAAGAATTCAGTAACTTGGAATGCATTTTGCTTTCCAAGACTTTTTCTAACTCTCTCTCGTGCCTCTTGTTACCGTTAAATCACACTTCCCAGAACACCAGATATATTTAAAAAGCAAAGGAAAGCAAGTTACACTTAAGGTAGACAAGACCATCTTCAAGAAAACAGTAATATTCCAATTTCTCAACAGCCAAGGGGTGGGGGGAAGAATTATCTGTGGAGGTGATAGTTAAAAAAAAAACAACTGGTTTCCTTTATTATCTCACACACTGGAATCAGCCTTTCATTTTGCTAATGCCATTCCACTAATGCAACCTGCAAGTATCTTTAGAAATGGCAAGACAAGCTGGCAAAGAGAATGTTGTGATACCTCCTGCATCCTTGTCTTACCCAACCTTTACCTGGTCTACACAGAGACTAAGGGCACAACTGGAGCATTTCACACAATTGCTTCATGCTGTCTAGCTTTAAGGAAGAACCAAAACTAAGTATACCTTGGGAAGAGAACCACAGACTGTTCATACTTCTTGCAGCTATATCCTTACAAGGTAGGGGAAGGGGGAAACCTTGATTCATGACTTCTGACTCTAAAGGAGACACAGCCTGCGATTTCATGCACATTTGCATTACTGCTCCCCACAGCGATCAAGCATAAAATACAATGACAGGCAATACTCAGTGCCTGAGTACCTTCTAAGTTAAAGGTAGATCTTTCAAAGCTGAATAAAAAAATAAAATACCTTTTACTCCCTCATTTGTGATCCTAACAATGTTATTTAAATTCGTAGACACCTCTATTTTAAACAAACTGCTCAAAATTATTCCAATCTCTGAACTATGACCAAGGTAACACCTTCTGAAGTAATGCAGCTATTGGCTGCTGCACCCTGCTTCGATGCGGCCCTCAAGAGGCTTTCCACTCTTATTTGTCGCCTCCTCTCCACACCCATTTCAGTGTTAACTAAGATCTCACAGATCCACCTCAAATGTCCTTTTATCTTCTTCCAAGCAGGAAACAAGTACATTTAAGATCAAAAGTATGCAATCGAGTCATTGGCTTTTCCCTAAAACATTTTCTATGCAAAACCTGGCTAAACATAGGACTAATTAAATTATCTTTAATTAGATTTTCAAATAGACAAGATATTATAACAAGGAAAACATTAAAATTTATAAACCAAAGGGAAACAGAAACACATCTACACTCAAATCTTATCTGCCAAACCACTCTTTTCTATTTCTCATCTCAGATTTTAAAATCAATTATACCTAGGGTTTAATTTTGATTAGCTAATTAAAGTAACACTGTGTTTCAAGCCTTATTCAACAAGCAGCAATTTTTAAATTCCAAAGCCCTCGAGACAGAAGGTAACTAGTTACAACACAAGAACTACATGCTACCGCATGCGTACCGGGGCCTGACCAATACTGGACTGGGGAGCAAACCAAAGAAAACCCAAAATGCAGTGAAGTTAGAGTACAGATGAGATGTAAATACATAGGTGCTACTGCTTGACCCTGCTATTACTTCTGCCTTGAAACTTGGATGAACATCTGTACTTGGTGTTGGGCTTAACAGCAGCAATGGTAAGCTAGACAAGCTAGAGAAGAAGGGTCACAAAAGCACTAATCCCCTCATCCTCCCAGCCAGTTACCGTTCCTCCCGTCTCTCAGGAAGTGTGAGCCAATAACTCAGACATACCTCACCTAAAAAAGAGTGTGACTTAACCTGCAGAAAGACACAAAACACCACATCTGAGCTTATGCAGGCCAGGAGGCCTCTAATCATGATGAAGCCATTTTAGAAAACATCTCTGTTTTAGGTGAATGCTGCCTCGGTGTCATTCACAAAGCTGAAATTCCTACATTTTAGAATAATGGAAAAACATGGGAACAAGTTTGTATTATGATTCGGTTTTGGCTCATGGGTAGAGATCTGCTTTCATTTTGAAAAACAGAAGATGCTGTTAAATATCCTTTCATGAATTTGCATCCATACAGACTGCTGAGATCAGGCACAGACATTTCCCTGATTTCTGCAACAGCATAGGAAATGGAGATGGGTTAAACCAGCTTAAGATCACAAGCCTCGGAAGCAGGTTGTCACCTGACAACCTACAAACTGAAATATAATTAGGAAGAATATACTCTGCTTCCTCATACTTGCATCCATGAGCATATACAAATTATCATAAAGTCATTCCAATCTATATTTATTCATTTAAAATGCAGTGAAACATGCAGAAAATACAAGCTAAGAAATTTAAATGAAGTCCATAGCAACTTCGGACTTAACTTCCAATGCATTTGCCGGGATAAACAAGTAAAGGAAGATAATACTCAAATACTTAAGACCCCTGTGGTAAGCAATAGCTACAGATCAAGTTATCAGATCTATCCTCAGCAAAAGTTTCACACAAAAAACCCCCATGCTATAATAGGTCTTCAATAACCTCTTTTGTCATTTTAATGTTTTTTAAATAAAAACCCCTTGTATCTACTGTATGTTTTAATATATCTGCTTATTCAAATGAATTAAATCTTCAATTTTCCTTACAAGCTGGGAACACAGGCTCAAAAAAAAAAAAAAAAAAAAAAGCAACCCAAAAGCAATGGAACTTGCTAAAAAATATTTAATGCCTCATGTCTGCAATGTCTATTTCTTTAAACAAAAAACAAAACACCAAAAAAAAGCAATGAGCAATGGAACTTGCTAAAAAATATTTAATGCCTCATGTCTGTAATGTCTTAAACAAAAAACAAAAACACCAAAAAAACCCACCACCATCACCCCAGGAAACTAATCATCATGAACTGCATGTTTTTGCTTAACATTACAAAAAGTTACTTATGCCTTATCCTCAAGTAAAAAATAAGAGCATGCCAAAACAAAAGCCTAATCAAGATTCTACTTTTAAGAGTTAACTGGTTTGCTGCATGCCTCAAGTCTTATGCCCTAAGTGAATATGCACAGGTAGCTTGGAAGACTGTCTAATTAATCTGACATCTTGAGAGATGTGCAGTGAACCCCATATTATTCAGGGAAACTCAAACCAAGCAAACTGAAACAAACAAAACATATATTGGAACAAACTTGTATTTACTTGATTACATAGAAAAGCACTTTAAAAGTGGGCATAAATGTACAGCCCGATACACCGCAAACCAGGGTATCAAAGCAAGTAACTAACAGGAAACTAC